AAAAAAAAAAAAAAATAGCCCAATACTGTGAGAAAGGAAACAGGAAAAAGAAAGTGAGGTAGAAAGTAGGGTGGCAGTAAGGGACTAGAGGAAGGATGTAGGGCTGTGGGTATAGCTCGGTCTTTGACATATGATTGACCTGACACACCAAACCTGGAACAGGCTACCTTCTCACTTTCTGTTATGAGAAACAATGATTTATCTTTATTCTTATAGACACTGTGAGTCATTAGTCATGGTTTCAGTTAGCTGGCGCTGAATGCCCGCAACAGGCATGCAACAGATTCCTATTCTCCAGTTATAACTCTGAGCTAAGTTACTGAACATTATTTCTCTTCCTTAGCAGAGTTTGGCTCAGTCTTTACTAGCTTAATGAAAGAGAGATCAAAAATTTCGCTTCTCTTCTTAAGCTTCAAGACATTTTTATTTTAGCTGACATTTAACTCCTTGTTTTCTGAAGATGAGCAAATGCCCTGCTCTTTAGCCTAATTATCCTGCCTTGTTTCCTTTCTCCTCTTTTCTCACGTATCTGAGGAGTTAATGGCTTCACCAGAAGCCATCCCTCTGCTGGTGGTTTGTTCCCTGCTTTAGGAGTATCTATATTACATTTTTATTCATTTTCCCAACCAACACTTATGAAGTACCCACTACTATCATTAATTTCTCTACTACTATCATTAATTTCTCCTTCTTTATCACCGTTTGATTTACTCCTTGTTCAGGGCTTCTAATGAAGGTTGAATCAATCCTATGCAGCCTCACTAAATCTTTTTCCAGTTCAGATGATATTTCTTTCTTAACCATCATGGAAGCTTCACTTGTAGATTTCACTTTCATCTAAATTCATCTAAATTCTCTGCCTGGCTTCTTTATCTGCAGCTACATAAGTATGGAAGGGAGCGCAGGGAAGAGTGATTAAGCAGGACACACTGGGTCGGGACAGGATTCTGGAGGAAACTGTGTGCCAAATGAAGGTTTTGTACAATTATGGTATATTAACAATATTCAATAGGTCACCTTCTTAGCATCAGTCCTATGATTGCAGAAGTAAGAGTGGTACTCATTCTGTATTATTCCAGGCAAGCAGGCTTTGACCAACTGATTTCTCTAGTTTCATTCCAAGTTCTTCTTATATCTCTATGATTTGATCCACTTAGCACCGTGGACACTCACCTGTTGGGTGTTCCTGAGATCGCCTGACCTTGTTCCATTTCTTCAGAAGTTTCTTGCTTTGCATTAAACAATCCATCTTTAGTTACAACTTCTTCAGCTAAAATGATACATTAATGATTTTAATGTCATATCTGTGAATTTTGAAAAAACGACCTCCAGTGTTAGGGAATATATGTTCCAAATTAAACCAAACAAATAAAAAAATCAACAGATGTCTGTGTACAGAATAGATGTTCCACATTAAACCAAACAATCAACAGGTATCTTGGGGTTTACAGTTAGTTTCATCAATCCTATAAAACATGACACAATATGGGAAAATGATAAGAAAAGTCAATTAAGGAACAAGAGCTCACTTGGGAGAGGACCCAGAGCACATTCAAAGAAAATTAAACATGAAGCTGGGTGCAGTCACTCATGCCTGTAAGCCTAGCACTAAGGGAGGCCAAGGCAGGTGGACTGCTTGAGCTCATGAGTTCAAGACCTGCCTGAGCAAGAACAAGACCCTATCTCTACTAAAAAAATAAAAAATAAAAAATAAATAGAAAACCTAGCTAGGCGTTGTGGTGGGCACCTGTTAGTCCCAGCTACTGGTGAGGCCAAAGCAAGAAGATCACTTGAGCCCAGGAGTTTGAGGTTGCTAGGGTGACTGAGTGAGAGTCTCAAAAAAGAAAATTAAACATGAACAGTAGTGTTCTCAGTAAAGAGAACATACTCTGAAGTACAGAGGAAGGGAATAGGCAGAGGTGTTCATGAAGCTTCCAAGTATGAAGGGATATGTGAAATGACAAGTCATATAGAAGCCTTGCTAAGAGAGAAAAAGGGATGCGAAGGAGGAGTTGCTGAGGGAAGTCAGGGAATAGGGAGGAATGAGCAGAGATGATAACAAGAGTCAATAAGTGGATGATTAGCAATAGAAGAAGAAAATGTGACTGGAAAGGATGCAAAATGGTAAGAGCTGAGAGAAGTCAGCAAGTAGAGGCCAGAAGAAGGGAATGGGAGGGTGAGAGCGTCTGTAAGAAATGTTGTCTCCCAAGGGCCAATTCAGGGTTAGTGGAGAGAAAAGGAGAGCACAGGCAGGGAACCATCCAGAAGCCTGTCCTTACTCATTAGACTGAGGCTTGCAACCTTCCTCTGAGTTGAGTTCCCACAGAGGTTCCTCTGAGCCAGACTCAGATGTGGCCACTCCCATGGGGCAGGGGCCTGGGCTGTTTCTTCCTCAGTCTTCACTGATGTCTAAAAAAACAAAAAATGACCTCTTTGTTTCCGTTGTGGTAAAAATAGGGGGTTCAGTTGCTAAGGGTATTGAATACTACACTATAGACCAGTGGTACCAACCTCTCAGGGCATTCTTGTAAATTTGTGGGAACGTTTTTTGTTCCCACAATGATGCCTCACCGCTTTATGCCAATGTCATTCATAAGGTGAGGCCAGAGATGATAGACATCCTGCACTGTGTGGGACGGTCCCACACTACAAAGAACTGTCCCATATTCTGTAGGACTTTAAAGTGTCCTACTGAATCAAATCTACAATCAATATAATCCACTGCATCTTGAAGAGTTTTTATAGGGAATTACTAAAAACACCAGTAATTCAAGAACATTACAAACAAGGACGCTGACATAGAATAAAGACATTGTCACAAGAGTTGACTCATTCAGACTATTCTACACAGTTTTATAGCATTTTCTACTATATATTTGGTTGAAAAGTATTTCAGTACAATATTGCAGGTACTGCAAATACAATTAAACTAATTATAAATAAATAATGGAGCCATCTTGAGACTTCTTTTAACAGATTTGGAACCTAATGTGAATGCAGAGATCTCACTAATTTTATTTAAAAAATTGTTTAAAAATATTTCAAACCTAGGTTGAATGATTTCTAAGTTGGAAAAATTATACACAGTAATTAGTTATTTTGCAGGTCATCTATGGTTTTCTATTTTTATATGGCACTTTCTCAAAGGGCTACCATATGGCTTTTCATTAACGTCTTCATTTTTTGTTTCATTTGTCAATCTACCCTTTCTTTCCCATTGCCTGAAAAAGGATACAGTGCTCTGTCTTTTAACAGGCTGAATGTCTGTTTTGACAAAAAGGGGACTTTCAAGACAGAAGATATGTTTTCTCTTTATCACTACTCCATCCCAGACTGCAAACACAGAATTATTTTTGATACTAAAAAGCCAACCTCATTTAAATACAGGCATAACTTGGAGATAGGGCAGGTTCAGTTCCAGACCGATACAACAGAGTATCACAATTTGAGTCACACAATATTTTTTTGATTTTTCAGTGCCATAAAAGTTATGTTTATACTATATAGTAGTCTATTAAATGTGCAATAGCATTATGTCTAAAAAATTCAATAAATATACCTTAATTTAAAAATATTTTACTGTCCTGGGTGCGGTGGCTCATGCCTATAATCCTAGCACTCTGGGAAGCTAAGGTGAGAGGATCCCTTGAGCTCAGGAGTTCAAGACCAGCCTGAACAAAATCAAAACCCTATCCCTACTAAAAATAAAAAAATTAGCCGGGCATCATGGCAGGCACACATTGTCTCAGCTACTTGGGAGGGGGATTGCTTGAACCCAGGAGACTGAGGTTGTTATGAGCTAGACTGATGCTACGGCACTCTAGCCTAGGCAGCAGAGTAAGACTGGTACAAAGGACAAAACTAAGCAACGGACCTAAGATGAACAGAATTCCACCATACTTATCAATTCTCTCAATAAATGTAAATGGCTTGCTCCCAGATTTATGAAACAGACCTTAACTGGTCTGAGCAACATGATATCCTATGACACCATAATCGTGAGGGACTTTAATACTCCTCTGACAGAACAGGACAGACCTTCTAAGCAGAAACTAAACAAAGATATAAGAGACTTAAATGCAACCATAGAACAAATGGGCTTATATACAGAACATACCATCCTAAAACTAAGGACTATATGTTTTTCTCATCAGCCCATGGAACATATTCAAAAATAGATCATATCCTAGGACACAAATCACACCTCAACAAAATTAAAAGAACTGAAATTATACCTTGCATCTTCTCAGATCACAAGGCAATAAAGGTAGAAATCAACTCCAACAAAAATTATGATCCCCACACGAAGGAATGGAAATTAAACAACCTTATGCTAAATGACAGGTGGGTCAAGGAAGAAATAAATGAGGAAATTTCTTAATTCCTTGAACATAACAACAATGAAGCTACAAGTTACCAAAACCTGTGGGATAATGCAAAAGTAGTCCTAAGGAAGAAATTTATTGTATTAGATGCCTACATCCAAAAAACAGAGAGCACATCATCAACCTAATGAATCATCTTAAGGAAATGGAAAAGGAAAAACAATCTAATCCCAAATCTAGCAGAAGAAAGGAAATAACCAAAATTAAATCTGAAATTAATGAAATTAAAAAGAAAACAATCATTCAGAAAATTAATGAAACAAAAAGTTAGTTCTTTGAAAAGATAAAAAAAAAATTTGAAAATCTATAAACCTTTGGCCAGATCAACTAGAAGCAGAAAAGTAAAATCTCTAATAACCTCAATCAGAAGTGAAAAGGGGGAAATAACAACAGATACCACAGAGATACAGGAGAGTATCTCTGGCTACAATAATTAACTCTGGACCCAGAAGCTTGACAAAATGTAGGAAATGGATCAATACCTGAAATCATACCATCTCCCTAGACTGAACCAGGAAGAAATAGAGCTCTTGAACAGACCAATCTCAAGTACCAAGATTGAAGAAACAATAAAAAATCTTCCAACAAAAAAAATCCCTGGACCAGAATGGTTCATACCACAATTCTACCAAATCTTAAAAGATATGCTTGTACCTATACAACAGAACCTAGTCCAAAACATTGAGAAGGAACCTTCCCCAACATATTCTATGAAGCAAACATCACCCTGATACAAAAACCAGTTAACGACACAATGAAAAAGAACTAAAGACCAATTTCACTAATGAAAACTGATGCGAAAATACTCATAAAATCTTAACCAATAAATTATTAACGACACACTAAAAATTATACATCATGATCAAGTAGGCCTCATCCCAGGGATGTAAGGCTGGTTTAATATATGCAAATCTATAAATGTAATACACCATATCAAAAGAAGTGAAAACAAATACCACATCATCCTCTCAATTAACACATTCAACAAAATTCAGCATCATTTTCTTAAGAACCCTTAAGAATATAGGCATAGGTGGCACATTTCTTAAACTGATTGAAGCTATCTAGGACAAACCCACAGCTAATATCATACTGAATGGAGTAAAACTGAAAGCTTTTCCAGTTAGAACTGGAACCAGACAAGGATGTCCTTTGTCGTCACTACTATTCAACACAGTTCTGGAAGTTCTAGCCAATGCAATCAGAGAAGAGAAAGTTATAAAGAGCATCCAAATGTGGGCAGAGGTCAAACCTTTGCTTTTTGCTGATGGTATGATCTTATATTTAGAAAACTCCAGAGATTCAATCACAAGACACCTGGAAATGATCAAGAAATGCAGGGTATAAAATCTCAGGACATAAAATCAATGTCCACAAATCAGAAGACTTTGTATATGCCAATCAAGGCAAGTTGAGAAGCCAAAGACACAATTCCCTTCACAGTAGCTTCAAAGAAAATGAAATACCTAGGAATATACCTAAGAAAAGAGGTGAAGGACCTCTACAAAGAGAATTATTGAACCCTAAGAAAAGAAATAGCAGAAGATATTAACAAATGGAAGAACATACCATGTTCTTTGCTGGGAAGAGTCAACATTGTTAAAATTTTTATACACCCAGAACAATCTACAGATTCAATGCAATCCCCATTGAAATACCAACATTGTAACTTGAAGAACCAAAAATATGATTCTTCATTTTGTATGGAACCAGAAAAAAACCTGTATAGCCAAGGCAATTCTTATTAATAATAATAATAATCATAATCATAAAGCTGGAGGCATCAATCTACCAGACTTTAGGTTATATTACAAGTTTGCAGTGATCAAAAGCATTGGCACAAAAATACAGAAATATGGAACCAAATAGAAAAAGAAGAGATGAAACTAATCTCTTATAGCCATCTAATCTTTGATAAGCCAAACAAAAGCATACACTGGGGGGAAAAATCCCTATTCAATAAATGGCTCTGGGAGAACTGGATAATCAGATGTAAAAGGCTAAAGTGGACCTGCACCTCTCACCACTTACAAAAATTGACTCAAGATGGATAAAAGATATAAATCTAAGACATGAAATGATAAAAATCCTAGAAGAAAGTGTGGGGAAACCTCTTGTGGATGTCGGACTGGAGAAAGATCTTATGAAGAAGACTTCAGCAGCAATTGCAACAATAAAAATAAACAAATGAGACTTAATTAAATTGAAAAGCTTCTGCACAGCTAAGGACACAACAATTAAAGCAAATAGACAACCTTCAGAATGGGAAAAGATATTTGCATGTTACAAATCTGACAAAGGCTTGATAACTAGTATCTATAGAGAACTCAAATTCATCAACAACAAAAAAAGCAAACAATCCCATCTACCATTGGGCAAGACACATGAACAGAACTTTCTCTGAGGAAGACAGGGATGGCTGACAAACATATGAAAAAATACTCATTGTCCCTAATCATCAAAGAAATGCAAATCAAAACCACCCTGAGCTATCACCTACCCCCAATGAGAGTAGCCACATCACAAAGTCTCAAAGTAGCAGATGCTGGTGTGGATATGGAGAGAGGGGAACACTTTTACACTGTTGGTAGGACTGAAAACTAATACAGCCTCTTTGGAAAAAAGTATGGAGAATCCTCAAAGAACTCAAATTAAGCCTATTTGATCCCACAATCTCATTACTAGGTATCTACCCAGAAGAAAAAAAATCATTCTGTCATAAAGATATTTGCACTAGATTGTTTATCACAGGTCAATTTACAATTGCCAAGATGTGGAAACAACCTAAATGCCCATCAACCTAGGAATGGATTAACAAACTGTGGTATATGTATACCATAGACTACTATTCAGTCATAAAAAAGACGGAGACTACATCTTTTGTATTAACCTGGATGGAATTAAAACACATTCTTCTTAGTAAGGTATCACAAGGATGGAGAAGCAAGTATCCAATGTGTTAAATACTAATATGAAGCCAGTGGACAATCTAATACATGCCTAAGAGAAAAATTCAGTTCAATTCAAATTGGGGGGTGGGGAAGTAATGGAGGGGGGACAGGAGAGGAAGGGATAAAAAATGAATTTAAAAAATATATTTCTTTTTGTCTTTTCTCTTTTTTCCTTTCTTTCTTTTCTTTTCTTTTCTTTTTTTTTTTTTTGAGACAGAGTCTCATTCTGTTGTCCAGGCTAAAGTGCCATGTCTGGTTAGCTCAGAGCAACCTCAGTCTCTTGGATTCAAGCAATCCTCCTGCTTTAGTCTCCCAAGTAGGTGAGACTACAGGCACCTGCCATAATGCCTGGCTAATTTTTCTATTTTAGTAGAGACAAGTTCTCACTCTTTCTCAGTCTGATCTTGAACTCCTGAGCTCAAGGGATCTTCCCATCTTGGCCTCCCAGAGTACTAGGATTACAGGCATAAGCAGTTGGCCCACAAAATGTATTTCTTAAGTAATAAGACCTAAAAGTCAAGATTATTGGCTTGGCACCTGTGGCTCAAGTGGCTAAGGTGCCAGCCACATACACCTAAGGTGGCAGGTTCGAATCCAGCCCGGACCCGCTAAACAACAATGAC